ACAGGATGACTCTCAGCCCAATAGGAGCCAGCAGGTATTAACTGCTTTAAGCGGCGGGGGACTGAGGGGACAGAGTTCTGCACATCAGTTCCTGTTTTTTCTGTGACTTCTTCATGGTTACTTATTCATTTTCAGCCTGGTGCAACCATTTAAGCACAGTGGGAGCCCCAAACACAACCATATAAAAGCCCTTTTCAGATACAAAGGAGACTAAAAGGGTTGTCCTTCATCAAAATGCTTACATAAAATGTACTCTCTGCATTTTTCAGATGCACTGGCAGAAAGTAAACCTGGGCCAGTGGACATGAGGGAGAGGAGTTTGATGTGTGCATACAGGAACTGCTAGCAATACTTTATTTCCTAGCGTACCTCAACACAATATACTCTTCTCTCTAGAGGAGAGTCATGTTTTCAGAATGACAATTGCCCTTGAGCGAGACTTTCCTGTTAAAAACACAGTCAACAAAAGTGGACGTAATTTTGATGGGAGCAATTGCCCCAAAGAAATACGTTGCAGCCACTGCACAGATCAAAAACTTACTTTTGAACCTACTAGTCATTTCAACACAAATAGGGCCCAGGTTTAGCATAGTGGTGATGGCATCAAAGATAACAAAAACAGGGATTTATTCATCTTCGTCTATCGTGTCTAACTTTAGTGGATCATAAAGATGTGGTATGAAATGAATCTGTGGATGCTCCGGTTCAAGATGAAACCAAACATTTCTATGGATGTCAGTTTTTGAGTCACGACAAAGGCTGATATGTGGCCTACAAGCTTTTTTTTTTGCCTAGCAGTTGGTATCAATTTAAATATAATGAAATTTCGGTGGCTGAATTCCAATGACTTTTTCAGCACTTTGCTAAAAAAAGGGGCTATTTTCAAGGTATTCTAGTAATTGATTTACCTCTTACAATTCAAGCACCTAGATTCATGATACTTTTGTATTAATTGTAATATGTATTAATATATACTGTTGGTAGAAATGTATTTATAAAAACAGGTACACAAATGTCTTACTAAAGAAAAGCAAAGGCTGTTAAGCATGCTAACTAATCACACTCACCACGGACAACTCTTTTGGGATTTGCGGGTCTGCGAGGACCTCGAGCAGTTGAGGTGCTGGGACCCTTGGGTGCACTAGTGGGTGACACGCTGCGATGAGGAGACTTCCTGTGTGGAGGACATGCTTGGGCCCGCATCTTTTCAAGCGTCTCTTGTTTACGGAGGGCAGAATCCAAAGTCTAAGAGGAATAGAGTGACAAGACATAAAAATTTGATGTCCACTTTAAAAGAAAACTAACTCCCTATAAAATAAGCTGCACTTGTAGACAAATAACAGAAAATATAAACTAATCAAATAAAACTATATTTTTTCAGTTAACTATAAGTCAAAAAATAAACAACATAACAAAGACAATCATTCATAACAGCGCAGTGCAGTTGTAAAGTATAAAGATGATATTAAACAAAAGACTACAAGTAAAGTGCTGGCTCTCAGCTTTAATTTTTATATCAACATTAGATGCTGTAAGCAAATGAAGACTTTTCTATACCTAATCTCACAATTTTGGTGGACAGAAAGTAACTGGAAAAGTTAATTCAGACTTAAATAGTCCTTTCAAAAAGTAATTCTATCTTTAAAAGTTGGTACAGCCTATAGTCTATGACCCACAAACAACACAGGCACACTTTTATTATCTTCGCTTGTGATGCTCTGCCAGACCCCTGCTGCAGTTATCCGCACTCAATGAATGTTTTGTGGAATTATAGAATTTTTAATCTTCAGTAAGTAAAAGACATGATCAGTTGCATTGCGATCAGGTGACTATATGGCCAAAAAAAAACAATTTTGGTTGTCTGTTTCAAACCTACTGTGCTGGAATAGAGCCAAAGCAATTTAAAAAACAAACAAACAAAAAACATATTATTGTCCAAATACTTTGTGATTGTACTTGTACTGCTCCTTACCTCTAGTTTCTGCAGAATGTCGAGGGCCGTCTCAGGCACAGATGAACCCTGCTCTACTTCGACTTTAGCTGAGCACAAAGAGATCTGGCGAATCAGCTGGCCCAGCTCTTTGTAGTGAGGGGGTACCTTGCCATGAGATAGATCTGAAAGCTGGTGGATAACAACCTGTAAGGCCCTGAGTGCCCCACGGTGGGCAGCTGCAAGCCTGTTTATAGCCATGGACTGAAAGAAAGATCAGATAGTAAATCAGTTTACTATTGAGAAAAACAATGGGTTTGCTGAGCAGTAGAGCTGGCAGAACTCAACAAAATCTACATTTAGTAATATTAATTTAAATATTTTTTAAATGTGGTAAAAATACTGCCATGTTATTTGAACATTGTAGTTATAAAAAACTGCTTTGTCTTATTTAGTTTCCAGTGATAAAAACAAAACTAATACAGGTGTAGTTTCAGACCACTCATTTGTGTGTTTGGGATGTAGAACACTTATTTTTTGAGGGACAGGAGGCCCAAAAAACAAATTTTACTACTAAAGACATACCTTTTTGGTGTCCCACATTTTCTGGCTTCGTAGTTTCTGTATATCATCTTGTATCTCTTTTACCTATTAAATAACAATTTAGTAGAATAATGTTTAAAGATACAGTGGAAATCAAAAAGTCAGTGAAGGTTTATTTTCGATTACATGTGGTAAAGATTTAAATACCTGTTGTTGGAGAACATAGATCATACGTGCTGAGCGGGCTGACTGCTTCTGTCTTCGTATCTCCAACTTGTTTTGCTCTTCAGGCTCCAGTGGCTCCTCTATCTTCTCTCCTGTTGTTTAAAATCCCATTATTAATTATTTTTTAGCATTTTGTGTCCATTGTAAAACCAAACAAAAAGTGTGCTGATTGTGGTAGGTGCCAAAACTGTGAAAACTTTTTCAAGCTAAGCTGTAGATTTAAACATGTAATCAACTGTAAGACACTGGCCTAATATTACAAGCTGTTTTTGTGGGTCACCTCTATTGGCTAGCTCTTCCACTTTCTGAATATACACTTCCAGCTCATCTTGCAGCTTGCAGATCTCCTGGCTTAAAGGAGTTGGTTTGCCTCGTTCTAAAGGCTTTGGGCCAGGGTCTCTGGTTGGGGGCGACTGGCCAGTCCGAGGCATGGGAGAGATGGGACATCTCTGGGATGTGTGCACCAACAGTTTGGCTCCAGGTTGGGCCACTTTCTCTTTTGGACTGGAGGCCTTTAACTTTGTCTTATTTGGGGTGGCTGCAAGCTCCTATAAAGAGAGATAATGACTCCCTAAGTAGGACATATACCAGTAAACCAGTAGTTATATACTTTGTACTATTATTACCTGAAGCAGCTCTACATCACTTGTCTCAAAGAGGGAGGCCTCCTGAGAGGGTTTGGCAGGGGATTTTGCCACTGACTCAAGGCGCCTTCGTCTCAGATCTCGCTTGGCCAGCTCAACCGCAGCCCGCAGTCTCTCCTCGGAGAGAGTTGTGAAGCTGATGGAGCTCCTGGGGCTGTCCACATTCTCACGCTCCTCTGACCGCGGCAGCAGCCTCTCTATCACAATGGGGGCTGGCAGGCGTACATGGGTGGCACGGTTGCTGGCACTTGCAGGGATGGCTTCATTGAACAATAGCTGCGGTGCGCAAGATAGCAAGCAGTCTTAACCAGTCTTGCATTGTGAGACATAAACAGCAATTGTGATTCTAAATTAAAGCTTTTCACACTCATACATGCTTTTCAGGTAACGTTATTGCTGGCATTCACTTCATATTAACTCAGTTGCCAGCATTTGTTTGGTACAATTAGCTAGACCCAATGCAATCTACAGGAACAAACCTGCAGTAAAACCAATCTTCATTGCGTTTTGTGTGTGAAATATTTTAAAGAGAGATGAATTCAACTCTTTTTTTGTGGGCTGTGACGTTACTGTTTGGTTCCGTTGAGCTGAATTGTGCTATGCTGAGAGGTTTGTCAAATATCTAGTCTATCCTCACTGATAAAGGTGGACAAAATATTGGAAATAAAGCAATAACTTTACGATTCAACAGCACCGCACCCATGCTTCCCTAAGTGACCATATAACAGTAACGTTAGGTAAATCAACACTCTAAAACAGCAGGAAAAAAAATGAAGGGTGACATACCAGACTGAATCGGATTTAGCTAACGTTAAGTTAGTTGTTCCAAATATGCTGACAACTGAGTGCACATGCGTGTCCAGGTAGCATTAGCCATCTGGAATAAAGACACTGTTAATATTGACAGGGTTACGTCTTCCACTGTTTGTTACCTTGATTTGTGACATCCCAGTTGTTAAATCGCAGCGGTTGTGACCGTTTCGTGTTGACTCTAAAACAACCCAGTCTCTCCTTTGACTTTGCTGTCCTACAGAAATCGCGGAACCATTCTGCAACAACTGTGCAGTCATTACAGCGAAAACAACCACATACTTCTTTCAACCTAGCAAACAATTCGTGATATATAACTAATGCCAGTGAGAGTTAGCATTAGCACGCTATGAACGCTTTTGAATTGAAGTACGGTAACATTAACGGTTAATCCCAACTTCGCTTACTATAACGACTTTTCTTCAGTTTATATAGGAATTATACATTATCTTTGCACATAGCGTGTCTAACTGACAGTAAAGTAAAATATAGCACATGGTTAACTTGTTTAATTTCAGTCTAATAGATTATCAACCGTTTGAAACACCGCCATGACAACAACAGAAGCCGCAAGACGGAAGTAGTGGGTTGGGGTTTTTTTTACCAAGTACGGATCGGCAAATAAGTCAATCATCAGCGCAATCGCATTTTTAATGACCAGTTATTAAATTTAAAATATACCCCTTTTGTAAAATTTTCTATATGTTTGAGATAATATGTAATGTCGTAATCCGAATTATAAAACTTGGTCATCACAAAATATAATTTAAAAAACGTGATCTATGTTTTCAGGTACAAGGTCCCTTTAAGAACCTTTGCACAGACCGGAAGTGGTACTGTCAAGTTTGGAGTATTTCTACCAGGTCCAGCGTTCAGGGGAGCAGTATTTCTGATAACACTTGTTAGTGCATCGTAGTTCATATTAGTGCATTTTCACATTAATTTAGTCTAAACGATGACCCATTACGAAGAAGTAAATGTCCGCGGGTATGATGAATTCTGTCAGGCTGTGTCTGAAAGAAAAGGAAAAGATATTTATGCTTATTTCTCTGGCGATAAAGACGCCCAAGGAAAGAGCTGGTGTCCAGACTGTGTGAAAGGTAATAACTTCATACCTGGAATTGCCACATATAAATATAGTCAATAGATGTTTGTGGTTTCATTTTGAGTAGACTTGATTGAAATATTTGGTCATGTAACCTCATGCAGCAAACATTTCGTTGTTCTGGTAGTGAGAGGAGTATGCCGTTTTACTTAAGGATCTTGATTTCACTTTAATAGGTTTTTTTCCCTTTTAGCTGAGCCAGTTGTTAGAGGAGAGATGGCTCATCTTCCTGAGGGTTCTGTCTTCATCTACTGTCAAGTTGGAGAACGGGCCTAGTCAGTATTTTACTCTGCTTTATTTAAATATTTTATGGCAAATGTTATGGCATATCAAATGCTTGAGTCATTCAGATGAAATACTGTCACAAAACAGGAGAGCACACCATGTTTGAGCTGCAACTGACACTTAAATGATAGATTTAACAATTGAGTATTTTCATCTGCTCTATAAAATATGATAATGGCAATGAGAGAACAATGAAATAGCCTTAAAAATAGTTAATTTACAGTTTGACAGACAACCCAGAACTCCCTCCAATTTAATCTAACTTGATTTTGAAACCATATAAAATGGAAAAACAAGTCATTATTTGTATTTATGAAGTCACTAACCAGTATAAATTCTTGCTAAATCACAAAATATATTATGTGCTTACTAAAATTTAAACATTGGATGAATCTGATTTTACATTTATGTTTTAGGGAACTGACAAAGTATAGAGCCAGGTACAGTGAGCAATATAACATCACATGTATACAACCCAGAGGAATGGTAGCCAAGAGAACATTTTGAGCTTTTAATTGTCAAGACAGAAGTATTTTTTTCAAAGATTTTTGTATAGTGACATTTACATGTTGGAAAACTTAAAAATACTTTCAAGTCTGCTCTTTCAATATGATATCTGTAAATGATATGAGCCGTTTAATAATAATGTCTTTTTCATGCTTCAGTTGGAAGGATCAAAGTAATGCCTTCAAGAAGACACTGAAGTTGAGTGGAGTTCCCACTCTGCTGCGATATGGCACTGTAAGAATAACTTCTATTGGCTTGACTGTTTTATTGACATGGATTAGCCTAAGATGAGACGTACTATAAATGTTTTACAGGAAAATCCACAGAAAGAGATAGGAGAACAAATTTCAGTGTCTTATAAAATGTTGAATATGAAAAAGCACAATATTTTATAATATTACTGTAGTTAGAGTGGTCTAGGGAGTAAATGTACCTGTAATACACCC